CGGAGGAGTAGTACCAGCGAATGGGAAGTCCGCCGGAGCTGGCGGAAGACCGAGAAGGTGGCGAAGTGCACTAGCAGGTGCAGCACCTCCAGCACCAGCAGCTCCAGCACCTCCAGCACCAGTAGCTCCAGCACCACCAGCACCAGCAGCTCCAGCACCTCCAGCACCAGCAGCACCTCTAGCACCAGCAGCTCCAGCACCTCCAGCACCAGCACCTCCAGCACCTCCAGCACCTGTAGTACCTCCAGCTCTAGCAGCTCCAGTGCCTCCAGCACCAGCAGCTCCAGCACCTCCAGTACCTCGAGCACCAGCAGCACCTCCAGCACCAGCAGCTACAGCACCTCCAGCACCAGCACCTCCACCACCTCCAGCAGTGGTAGCTCTAGCACCTCCAGCACCAGCAGCACCTCCAGCACTAGCAGCTCCAGCACCTCCAGCACTAGCAGCTCCAGCACCTCCTGCACTAGCAGCACCTCCAGCACGAGCAGCTCCAGCACCTCTAGCACCAACAGTACCTCCAGCACTAGCAGCTCCAGAACCTCCAGGACTAGTAGCTCCAGCACCAGCAGGACCGTACCCTCCACCACCAGGACTGCCTCGCCGAACGATCCACGCACGAATCGCCTGCGGCGAGAGTGTCTCAAGTAGAGCAGGCTGCGGTGGCTGTCCAGCTCCAGGACCTCCAACAGGATCACCCACAACTCCACCGCCACTAGGACTCGCAGCACCCCCGGTCACAGCACCCCCAGTCGCGGCACCCCCAGAACCCTCACCCTCTGTCTCAGCACCCCCAAGCTCAGCACCAGCAGTCTCGGCTCCAGAGTCCACAGCAGCAGGCTGCGGAGGTGGCGAAGACGGCCGACGCGGAAAACCAGGGGGGGTCTCCAAGCGTGGAGAGCGGCGAGTGGCCACCATGTCGTCAGCGGCGGGGTCACCCCCCTCAGCTGGGCCAGAGGAGTCAGAAGAGATCTCCAAAGGCTCAACCAAGGGGGGTGGAATTACCGGAGACACACCTAAGGGAGCAGGACCCTGCGGGGGGAGGGGGTCTACCGGGGGGGGGACTGGTACCAGGAAGAGAGGCGCTAGGGGGAACGGGTGGGACGCGTGCGGGTGTAGTCTGTAGAAACAGACCGACTCGTCAAAGGTGACGTCATGGGAGGAGAACACGCGACGGTCGCGTGGGTAGTAGAACTGCCACGGCGGGGCGTCGGTGGGGAAGTCAAGGAAGACGCAGCGGAGAGTGCGAGAGGAGAGCTTGCTCGCTTTGGCATCGCGAACAAGGGAGAGCGCGCCCCAGACCCGAAACACCGACGCATCGCCAACCTTCCCCGTCCACCGGAGGGTGGGCGAGGTCTCTGGCTCAGAGACACGGGGCCGGAGGTTTGTCAGAATGTTGTATTTGTCTAGCCTGCAGTGGGGTACTCTATAGCAACTATAGCCCAATTTAGGGTTTCCTATATGTACTCAACTGCTTGCTAGTGAAACTCCTCTTTCTTGTTCTAAACTCTTTCTTGTACTTCTGACATGGTATCTAGAGCGAGCACGTTCCTGCCGCTTACCTCAACGGGCCTACCAACTGCTTCCGCTGTCGTTCTGTTTGTCGCACGCCCCGTGGTGCGCGACGTGTTAAGCGCGTGGCGGCTTTTTCTGCCCGCCGCGCGCTCGGTGTGCGTGGCGGTTTAATCGTCCGTCGAGGCGCCCCAGAGGCCCGCGCGCCACCCCCTCCCGTCGCCCGTCGTGGCGCTCTCGGGGGCCCGCGCGCCATCCCCTCCCGTCGCCCCGTTGCGGCGCCTTGGGGGCCCGCGCGCGACCCCCCTCCCGTCGCCCGTCGTGGCGCCTCGGGGGCCCGCGCGCCTCCCCCTCCAGTCGCCTCGTCGCGGCACCTTGGAGGCCCGCGCGTCGCCCCCTCCCGTCGCCTCGTCGCGGCGCCTTGGGGGCCCGCGCACCGCCCCCTCCCGTCGCCTCGTCGCGGCGCCTTGGGGGCCCGCGCGAGGTCCCTCCCGTCGCCCGTCGAGCCGCCCTCGGGGGCCCGTGCGCGGCCCCCCTCCCGTCACCCGCCGTGGCGCCCTCGGGGGGCCCGCGCCCTGCTCCTTCGTGGCGCCCAGGAGACCCCCCCGCCGCCTCCCTTTCCCTCCGTGAACCGCCCCTGCTGCTTCCCGCGCTCCTGCCTGCGTTAGGGTTTGGGGGTGGCGGGCATGGGGGTGAACGGTGTGGGTAACCTGCAGCTCCTCCTCCTCCTCCATCTCCCACTACTGCAGCTGCTGCTGAGGGGGTTGGGTGTGTGGGAGCCGAGGGTTTAGGGTTGAAGGGGGGTGACGTGGGAGTGGAGCTAGGGGTGCAGCAAGGGGTGTGTGAAAGGGGGATGGGACAGTTGGGGGAGGTTGAGCGGAGGCTGCCGTCTTGTCGTCCGCAGCACCTGTAGTCCGGGGCGCTGTCCTGGTAGCCCAGAGATCCTGCTGCGCCTGTCGCCCGTGGGTCCGTTGCTCCTGCCGCTCCTCGTAGCCGCCGAGCCAGTTACTCCAGTAGTCCGGGGCGCTGTCCCGGTAGCCACTGTGCCAGCCGCTCCTGTTGCCCGTGTGTCTGCAGCTTCAGCCGTCGCCTCCTATCTTCTCTCCTCTTACGGTCCCGCCTCCTCCTCCTCACTTGCCCTTTGTGAATGCCTCTAGCTTTGCTTGCAATTGTGAACCTGCTCTATGACTGCTTGCTCTGCTGATTACACCCCACTTTGGCTATGGGGGTGTATCAGAATGTTGTATTTGTCTAGCCTGCAGTGGGGTACTCTATAGCAACTACAGCCCAATTTAGGGTTTCCTATATGTACTCAACTGCTTGCTAGTGAAACTCCTCTTTCTTGTTCTAAACTCATTCCTCGTTATTTTCACAAGGTTAAGCTGATGCGCAGCGTATCGGACCGCAAACGGCCACAGAAAATGGGGAGCAGCCGCATGGATCATGGAGGTACGAGCAACCTCCATGATCAAGCCAATGCGACGCTCAGCAATCCCATTCTGCTGAGGAGAGGCCGGAAACGTGAACGTATGGCAGATGCCCTCGTCTCTACAGAACTCCTCAAGGAGGCCGGAAGAGAACTCACCGCCCCTGTCAGAGTGCAGACGCAAGACTGGCAAGTCCCGACGAAACCGCTCGCGCAGCTGGCGACGAGTAGCACGGATCCAGGGGATCAAAACACCGCTGACGCCCGCCTTGTGCCGCAAGGGGAAGACAATGGTGTAGCGTGTGTAGTCGTCAACAACCAGCAGGAAGTAGCTCTCCTGGTCCGTTCCACCGACGGGGGCCGGGCCCCAAACGTCCATGTGGTGAGTCTGCAGAGGAGCAGTGGTCGGAGGAAACTCGGAGGAGTGAGGAGCGGCGCGCTGCCGCCCCTCGACGCAGGGAAGGCAGGGCGGTGCAGGCGAGCGCGGGAGGGAGGGCAGGGACCTGGGAAGCCCAGAGAGAAGGAGACGGAAGTGCATGCTGCGGAGACGCGGCATCGAGGGGTGACCGATGCGGTGGTGCCAGAGGAGAGTCTAGTGGGAGAGTACCCGACACGAGCAAGACGCTGCAAGCTGACCAGACGCAGACACCTGACTCGACACAGCCACCTGACCTGACTCAGCCACCTGTACAGACTCAGTGGTCAGTGTGTACAGACTAGACCCAGGCCGTCGAGTGAACGTAGCAAGGTGACGGCCAGTCTGAGAGCACGTACAGATCGCCACATTCTGCCCTCCAGGAATAAAGGTATCAACCCAGACATCCTGAATGGCAGCGTTGCTCACCAAGTTCGTCGAGAACGTGGGGAGGTGGAGACCTGAGAGAGAACCGGAGGGACTGCCGGACACGGGAGGACAGTGGAGGCTCGCGCAACTACTGGGCCCCAAGTGGGGTCAGCCAGTGAGACTGGGACAAGTGCTGCGAGTGGTGTGACTGTAGTGCAATCACGAAAGAAGCAACGTGACGCGCCTGAGTCAAGCGTGAAAGTGTGCAAGGCCTCAGCTGAGGCAGGACCTGTGGCAGTAGACGCACTAGCACCTAGAGAGTTGGCAGACGCACGGGCACCTAGAGCTGTAGCAGACTCACCAGCACTTGGAGCGGCAGCAGACTCACTAGAATCGAGAGCAGCAACCTCTACACAACCAAGGACGCATCGCTGAGAAGCACAATCGCGAGGTTGCTGAGACCACATAAAACCAAAACCTCCACCACCAGGACGGCCTCGCTGAAAAACCCACTCACGAAGCTGCTGAGGGGTGGGGTCGTCTGGGAGAGGCAGGGACCGCTGCCGTCCACCCCTAGCCGCTGCAACTACCGTGATAGTGGCCATGACAGGTGGTGACGGTCAGTAGTAGGTCCAGCACCTCCAGCACCAGCAGCACCTCCAGTACTCCCAGCCGCACCTCCAGCACCTCCAGCACCAGCAGCACCTCCAGCACTCCGAGCAGCACCTCCACCAGCAGTAGCAGTAGCACGAGCAGCAGCAGCAGCAGTAGCGGCAGCAGGGCGGCTCGGTGGGGCTGGACGGCGGCACCTCCAGCACTCCCAGCAGCACCTCCACCAACAGCAGCAGTAGAACGAGCAGCAACAGCAGCTGTAGTAGCAGCAGGGCGGCTCGTGTTGGGCAGGTCGGCTCGGGCTGGGCGGCGCGGCTCGGCCTGGGCGGCGCGGGCAGCAGGTTGCGCGTTGTGCAGGGCAGCAGGGCGCGACGCGCGGGGTGCAGCAGGGCGCGACGCGCGGGGCAGCAAGGCGCGACGCGCTGGCTGCAGCAGGGCGCGACGCGTGGGGCAGCAGAGCGCGACGCGCAGGCTGCAGTAGGGCGCGACGCGCGGAGCAGCAGAGCGCGACGCGCGGGCTGCAGCAGGGCGCGACGCGCAGGGCAGCAGGGCGCGACGTGCGGGCTGCAGCAGGGCGCGACGCGCGGAGCAGCAGAGCGCGACGCGCGGGCTGCAGCAGAGCGCGACGCGCGGGCTGCAGCAGGGCGCGACGCACAGGGCAGGGGCTGTTCACGGGCAGCAGGGGTGCTCGGGGCAGGGGCTGCTCGCGGGCAGCAGGGGCGCTCGGGGCAGGGGCTGCTCGCGGGCAGCAGTGGCGCTCGAGGCAGGGGCTGCTCGCGGGCAGCAGTGGCGCTCGAGGCAGGGGCTGCTCGCGGGCAGCAGTTGCGCTCGAGGCAGGGGCTGCTCGCGGGCAGCAGTGGCGCTCGAGACAGGGGCTGCTCGCGGGCAGCAGTGGCGCTCGAGGCAGGGGCTGCTCGCGGGCAGCAGTGGCGCTCGAGACAGGGGCTGCTCGCGGGCAGCAGTGGCGCTCGAGACAGGGGCTGCTCGCGGGCAGCAGTGGCGCTCGAGGCAGGGGCTGCTCGCGTGCAGCAGTGGCGCTCGGGGCAGGGGCTGCTCGCGGGCAGCAGCGGCGCTCGAGGCAGGGGCTGCTCGCGGGCAGCAGTGGCGCTCGAGGCAGGGGCTGCTCGCGGGCAGCAGTGGCGCTCGAGACAGGGGCTGCTCGCGTGCAGCAGTGGCGCTCGAGACAGGGGCTGCTCGCGGGCAGCAGTGGCGCTCGAGACAGGGGCTGCTCGCGGGCAACAGTGGCGCGCGGGGCAGAGGCTGCACCCGAGCAGCAGGGGCGCGCGTGACAGCAGGGCAGCACGCTAGGGCAGGCAGTGCGAGTAGCTGCAGGGCAGCGTGACACTGTGCGAGAGGGCCGGACAGCGCAAGGGCGCTTCGGGCAGGAACTAGCGGAACGATCGGTGGGCCCTAAAAACCTAACAGGTTTTCTGCTCTGAATACCATGTCAGAATCACTATGCAAGAATGAATGAACTATGAATGAGTTGGGTACAAGTACTAACCCTAAAGTGTTGTACCCCTTGTAGGCTAACCCACTATAGCCTAGAGACAATACAAACATATGGTTTGACAGTTGTTCGCTCATGCATCCTCTCACATGTATTTTCTTTGACGTAGATAGTGCAATCCTTGCTTGCTCACTCAGATTCGCACTTGTACACAGTAGTGTTGCATGGTGGTTTGCATAAGATTGCCGGTTATTGACTAAGGAATGCTGGAAAAAATTTTGTCATGTTTGTGGCCATAAAATTGTTTGCCATAACTTCTGGAAGGCACAATTTCTGGCTTGGGCACTAACTGCTTCAGCACATGCTTATTCAAAAGATTGCTACAGCACTAACTGGTACAGCACTGATGCTACCTACCTAACCAGCTCCCTCCACTTATCACCTCTGGTCTGGAACTTGCACTACCACAATCATGTATGAGTAATGGCTCCTTCCCACTTGATTTCTCGCCACCCCTCACTCCCCCTTTCCACTCGCACTGCTCATCGCTCCCACCACCAGAGCCAGAGAAGACAGGGCACTGCTGCTCCCACTCTGCTCCTCCACCACTTCCATCCCCATCCCCATTTCCATCCGCATACCCTGGTCCCCTTCTCGCCGCCGCTTGCCTCCCTCATTGCCCTCCTCCCTCACACTCTCCTCCTCGTCTCTTCCTCCGATGACTCCACTGCGCTTCTGCTTCACCCCTTGCTGCGCCTGCTCCTGCGGTGCACCCACTCCCTGGCAAACGTTGCGCTGATGTGCTTTGAAGTGGGATTCGATGCGGTGATGATGCGATTTCAAGTGGTGTACCTCAGGCTCTGGTTGTGGGAGTGCATTAGCCAGCAGAAGGAGGGGTGAGCTGGCTGCCGGGGCAGCAACGGGTGCTGCAGCACCCTGAATGCTGGCAGATGTAGGAGGGATGGCCGTGGACGCAACCGAATCAAGCCCAGCAGCAGCCGCAATGGCGACAGTAGAAGTGGTTGCAGCGGTAGCAACAGTGGCCTTGGCAGTATCACCAGCAGGTTTAGCTACACCAGGGGGAGCGCACACCACACCAGTCTGCTGCTTCCCTTCACAGACTTCCTTCCCAAGGCCAGTTGCCCTTCCGACCTCCACAGCCCCCTTCCCTGGTTTCTCTTCACCAGCAGCTGCAGTGCACGCAGTGATACCCAATCGCTGCGCACGAGACCTCTGAACTGCTCTGGAAGGTTCAGCACAGGAAACCTTCTCCTTCCGACTGGGTCTTGCCGGCCGCTTGCTTTTGCCTCTGCTGCTGCCTCCAGTGCCGCCACGGCTGTTGCTGTTGCTGCTGCTGCTGCTGCTGCCTCCAGCGCGGTACCGGCAGCTTCGACTGGAGCTGTTGCACGGGCTGTGCATGCAGGGGTGCTCGGCTGTAGCTGCTACAGCCGATGGCGGGGTGCCTGGTGGGCTCACACCCGCATTGTGGTGCTGCCGCTGCTCCTGCTGCTGCTGCTGCTGCTGCTGCTGCTGCTGCTGCTGCTGCTGCTGCTGCTGCTGCTGCTGCTGCTGCTGCTGCTGCTGCTGCTGCTGCTGCTTCTGCTGCTGCTTCTGCTGCTCCTGCTGCTGCCGCTGATCCTGCAGCTGTTGCTGCTGCTTCTGCGTGGGCTTGGGTCGAGGGTGGTGGGGGCGGGGTAGGTGAGTGGGTCGCTGCGGAGCCTCTCGCTGTGGGGGAGTCTGAGGCGGCAGCTGCACCTCTCGCTGCTGCTGCTGCTGCTGCAGCCCGCCTTGATGATGCATTCCCTGCTGCGCTAGCTTGCGTTGAACAAGTGGCGGCGACGCGTCTCGCTGCGTTGAAATCCGTCGAGGCGCCAGAGGCGGAAGGCACGCCCACTGATTGGAAGACGAAGCAGCAGCAGCAGCCGCGGCGCCAACAGCAGCACCAGCGAAAGTACCAACACCAGCACCACCAGCACCGCCAGCACCGCCAGCACCGCTGCTAGCAACAAGAATAGCGAGCGCTACGGCGTTCTTCTCTTCTAGTCCCCGCGCGCGCAGCAGCGCAGTCAGCACTTGCACCCGGCTCAGCAGCGACACGGGTACGGACACCATGCTCCTGCCCGGGCCAGCACCCCCGACGGCTCTAGTAGCAGCATTGCCGCTGGCACCATCACCCACGCGGTTATTGGGCGAGCCGATAGCGGGAGCGGTGGGGCGTGGTTCGAGATTCTTGACGGGTGCCGTTGTTGCATTACACTGGCGAGTCGAGGACTCGGGAACGGGACGTGTTGAGAGAGCGGACGGAAGTGCAGCTGTAACGGTGGTACTGGTACTAGCCGCATTACGAGGAAAGACGGCGTTGGCGGAGGCAGGCGGTGGAGAGCTTTTTGAAGCGGTGTGACTGGGCGGGAACCGAGCATTCATTCGAAGGCCCGAGTTGCGTGCGGCATTCATAGCAGGGCCGCGGGAGCCAGGCGCAGCGAGGGGAGCCGCTCGACTCCGCGCCACGGCCTCCGCCTGAGGCGCAGGGGGGGGGAGCGCGACGGGCGGCGGTAGTAGCAGCACCGGAACCGAGTCGCCGTCGCCTGCAGCTCCTCCGAGAGCTGCCATGGAGTTGCTACTTTGGTTGGCTTTACCGGCCACATTCGCCCGTGGCGGTTGCGCGTTGGCGCTGCCACTTGCATTGCCAACGGTGGCCGCAACGGCGGCTGGATTTTGCGGTGGCGGTGTGACGCAGCACCATTTCGCAGAATCTTCGCGATCTCCACCCACACCACTATGGGTCGTCGCCGTCGTCACCTTCGCCGTCATCGCCGCTGCCGTCGCAGCTTTCGTCTCTAGCGTCGCTTGATGTCGTTGCTGGTTCGCGCTCAGTTGAGCAAGCACCATTTGCATCACCAGTGTCGCAGCGGCCATCCCGCTTTTCCCGGCCGTTGCCGTACCCTCTTCGAGTCTGCCGCCTCGTGTCGTCCCCGATTCCGTCCCTTCTTGGAGCGCCAGTCCACCATCCATATTCGTGTCACCAGCGACGGCTGTCCTGTTCGCCGCCGCCGCGGCTCCTTTGCGGCTACGCTCGTCCCCAGGAGCAACGGCCGGCGCGGTTGCTGCGCCATGCGAGGCATTAATCTCCACGTCCAGGTGGACACGCGGTCCGGAAGTTCGCGGCGCGCCGTGAATTTCATTAGCAAGAACGGCGGCGGATGGGGAAACGGAGGCATGCGGGTGAGGGAAGTGGCAGTCTCGATCAGAAGCCGATCTTGGTCTCTTAAGAATCGGCGAGACGGTGGGCGGAATATGGGTCTGTGTTGGCAGCAGCGGTGCGGGCGGCGGCTGATGGAAAGGCGGTGACGGCCAGTCGTCAGGTGCTGCCTTGATTGACGCGGCTTGGCGCAGCGAGTCTGCCCAGTCCCACTTGCGCTTGATGCCTGAAAGCGCCATGCGGTATTCGCGCCAATTTGGAGAGGCGACAACAGCGGAAAGAGGGACGGGAGAGAACGAGTGGGGGTGCGGTGTGGAAATTCCCCACGGAGGAGAGTGAGTGCGTGTAGCGGTGTAGGAGCAATGTACGAAAGCAGACTGTGTTGAATGGTAATGTTGGATAAAGAGACCAGGAAGAAGTGGGAGGGTGCTTCAAGGCCACCACGATATTTTCCGGATGAGCGAGAATAATGGTGAAATGGGAGCGCATCTGTGCATCAATTGGGCATCATCAGCAGAGCCTGGCTGGGTTGGGGAGTTTTGCACCGCATTCCGCGGAGCGCATCTCAATCTTTCATTCGACGGTCGACTTTGCACCAGCTTTACTGATCAATGGTACAGATTCCAAGCTCTTCAAGCTCGATATGTCAGCCTTGGTGAAGCGGATCTTGACTGTTCGTTACCTGAGACGCGATCATCCAACGGCTGCGAAAAGAGATATTTGAATAATTGCCGTGGACGACGCCACCAAATGGGTGATGACAAGGTGTCATTGACAATGGAACGCGTATGGGAGAGAAAAGCATCACTGGCATGTTACGTGTGGTTTTGGCGAATTGTTATGAGTTGTACGAAAGAAGAGTGCGCAGTATTCAATAACGCGGAAGTGATTACAACTACTGAGCAAACAACGAGGCCTAGGCATAATATAGCAAAGCTAGCTAGGCCGAGGTCGCGGAGTCGCGCGAAGTTTGGGTGCAGGTTTGGGGTTGGGAAACCCGAAGGCGACGCGGAGGACGTTCGGAAGGCGAGGTCATCGGACCGAGCCTAAACTCCGAAAAGTTGGACTTGTACGCGTACGGAATGCCTCAGTAAGGAATTAGGAAAATTCCTTACACTACCCTCCCTTTAAGAAAGGTGGTCAATATCGGGCACGCGTCGGCGGGAAAGATAATCCCGGAGTACCGAGTGGCCCTGTAGTGAGTCAGCCGGGACCCACGTGTCATCGTCGCTTGTGCGATCCACCCATCGCAGGAGGAAATCAACGTGGCGTCCAGCTGGTGTCGCACGAATGCGATGATTCAAAATCTTCCAGGGCTGGAGTGTCGGGTCTGCGACGGGCCGGACACTTGGTGCAATGTTAGGTCGAGCGACGTCGGACGGCTGCGGAGCCACGTAACTGACGTGGAAGGCGTCGTGGATCTTCCAGTCGTCCGGTAACAAAAGTTTTGCTGTGACCGGGGTCAGCATCCGAATGATGCGGAAGGGTCCCACGTATCAGGGACGCAGTTTAGCAGGTTGGGGCAGTCGAAGTTTTTTCGTGTCCAGAAGGACCATCTGCCCGTCGCGGAATGGTAAGTTCCGTCGATGTCTGTCAGCATAGCGGCTGGCAACGGTGTTAACCTTCCGAATAAATTCCGCTGCTTTGTTGCGGGCTGCTTGGAGTTCCGAAACGAATTGCTGCGACCGTGGTACCGGGTTGTCGGGGGTCGTTGAAGAGGGTACCACGGGGTCTATCCCGTAATTGAGGTAGAACGGTGACTGATTAGTCGTCGCAGACGGTGCGTTGTTGTACGCAAACTCGAGCATGGGGAGTGAATCCTCCCACTTGGTGATGTCGGGGCAGTTCGTGCGAATCAACTGCTCCATCGTCTGGTTTGTCCTCTCTGTCTGTCCGTCGGTTTGCGGGTGGTATGACGACGAAAACTGCAGGCGGGTTCCGTACTGGGCCCACGTTTCCTGCCAGAACTTCGACGTGAACTTCGGATCCCGATCGCTGATGATCGCCGAAGGTAACCCGTGTAGGCGTACGATGGTGGAGATGAAGAGCTTCGCTGTTTCTTCGGCTGTGATTGTCGTGCGGCATGGTGCGAAGTGCGCCATTTTCGTTAATCGGTCCACGACGACCAGTACCGAGTCGTTGCCACTTGCGCCAGCTGGCAGCCCGGTGACGTAGTCCATTGTCACATGTTGCCACGGTCGTTCGGGTGGCTCGAGGGGTTGCAGTAATCCAGCTGGTCGTTGGCATGATGACTTCATTGCCTGGCAGGTCGGGCAGGCGGACACGTAGTGCTGCACGTCCGACGCCATGTCGGGCCAGTAGTAATTCTGCTGCAGCAGCTTCAATGTTTTGTCGACGCCCGGAAAGATTGGAGTCGTGTACTTCCTGCGTCAGCAATTCTCGTAAGGGTCGGTAGGAAGGTACCCAAACTCGGTTTGTACCGACTTTTAGGTAATAGCTCCCATGCGCCGTGATGACCCGTTGGTGTTGGTTGGTCCTGAAAAACCTGTCAGTCCCGTAGCCGTGCTTGAACAGTCCTGCCAATAAAGGGTTAGAATGGGCGATTAGTACTGCTGCGGTTTGCATTGATGGGCGGGTCAGGGCCAGGGCCTCAGATTCGTTTGGGGGTACCCTGAGGCCTCAGGGCAGTTCTCTAGGAAACCAAATTTTCTCCTGAAACGTCAGGACTGCACTAGGATAAGTATGCTGTACTGTCAGTGCTACATGTGACAGTATCCTGGCACATCAGGACTACATCTCATTTTATCCTGTGCACTATGGTTTTGTGCTTTGGTAGAGCCAGTTTGCACACATGTTTAATAATCAAGCAACTCAATTAATATCCATCGTCCTCCTCCTGATCATCTTCACAAACATCATCACCACCACTGTCCCACCCACTCTCAGCATGTGCATCATCAGCGTGGTCTCGATTCGCTGCAAGTCCCCCCCTGAACACTGTCCCCCTCCGCGATACATCCACCTTTGCTGCCTTGCGCTTGGTCGGTCGCCTCTCCTTGGTGCTGCGCCATAGTGCCACTACTTCACTCCACTCCATGTTGTAGTCTAAGAGGCTCAGTGTCATGAGGTCGGCCAGCTTCGCGTCGCATAAGCTGGTCCGCTGCCAGCTCTTAATCACATTCTGGCGAGAGAACCCTCGCTCGCACTCCACCGTGCTGAGCGGCAACACCGCCACAGCAGCCCACAGCCGCACCAAGTTCGGATAGGTCCTCGGCCAGTCCGCGATTGACAAGATCGCCCGCAGGCCCGCATGGAAGGGCTGCTCCTCCTTTGGCGCCCCGGACAGCACAGGCAGAAAGGTGCGCATCTCCTTCCGCACGTCGCGCTTGTTAACACCTGATTGGTGGGGTGATAGAAACACACATAAGCAGAATCAACATCGCTTGTACGGGGTACAAGACACACTGCGACGTTAGTGGGCGAACAGATGTGAGAACTCACCAGGAAGGATCTCATCTCTGTCGCGCGCGTGGAACATCACCGCCAGCTTCTCTAGGTGTTCCGTGCACTCCGCGTCCCGCGCCTCTTTCCCACGGGGCCACGATCGTGGCATGAACAGATTCGCAGCGTTGAGATTCCTCAAGTCGCCAAGACGAAAGTCAAGGTTGTATAGCAGCTCCGTCGCAAACGATCGACACGTCCGCATGCAAGACTGCAGGTCACCGGGGCTCTCCGAGTAGCCCGGGATCAGCTCCTCGTGCAGGGTGAACTCATGCTCCCTCGGCTGTCCGTCAATGTCAACACCCTGCACAGTCACGCGCCTGCTGCACGGTGCGCTGTGGCGAGCAAGGAACGGTGACAGTTGTGCGCTCGCCCCAGCACCGAATTGTTGCCCACAGTCGATGTAGCGCTCCCTGATGAAGACTTCGAGCCGCCTCAGCTGGGAGTGAACCGCCGTCAAGTCCACCTGTGGTCGGGTTTGGGAGCAGGGAGTATACAAGACAGATGAACGCTATGAGCAACAAGCCGCAAGAGATTACAAGACACAAAAAACTCACAACATTACCTCGCGCCTCTGGAAGAGAAGGTTGAGCATGTTCAGCTCGATGTGTACATCCGCCAGGAACAACACGAAGAAGTTGAACTTCAGGCTTGTGACCATGTGGTAGCTTATAGGATCCAGCTGCTCCAGAAGAACCACGACCGCCGGTAACACCTTCACGAACCGTGCGATTGCGTCTCCGCGGCTTAACCACCGTATGGCGTGGATGCCCTGAAGTTCCAGGTTCGTCTCACTGAAGACGGCCTGGAGCTCCTTGAAAGCCGCGTGCGAGGTGCTGCTGCGACCGAGATGCTCCGCCAAAGCACGGATGAGAACGTCAACCATGGCCAGCTCCGGGAGCGCTTCTGCAGAATCTTTTGCTGCAAGTGCCTCCTTGCCAGACAGACAGTCAGAAGGCCAACAAAAAGGCGTCAGACAGTCTGATAGAAAACATGCAGCAGAGTGGAAGCTCCCACATGTGCGCGATGCAGTGGCACGAAACCAGGTGTGGGATGCAGAGTCGAAGTCGCCCGGTCAAACCACGCCGAGCATGACTGGAGCGCCGTCGGTGCTAATCCCTGCAATCTTGCTGAGGGGGAGGCTGATGCTGTCCAGGAACCCGACGAGCACTGCATACAGGGAACCTGCATCGCATTTGTTAACGGTCAACAGCGTCAGAAACTCAGTGGTAACCTCGTGCTCTCGCAAGAAGGTGACGAAGACGATCATATGCTTCCCCCGCACTCTGTCTGTGCTCTCATCACAGCTCAGGCCAATAAAAGGGCTTGAGTCTATGTACTCGCGTTGCTTCGAACGAAGATAGCTCGATGTTGACGAAACTAGTTCCTGGAAGCCGTACCTGCGCAATCACGGTTAATGAAACGTGTGAATTCTTAAACGTGTAAATAATAAACTTGGTAATAAACCAAAACAACTATTCACTTACGTTGTGTAATACGCGCCGTAGCCGTTCTTAGGGAATTCCAGAGTCCCACGGGATGCTAGGTGCCGAACGAGCTGCACCCACATCTCAATGGGTGCGTCCGTCTTTGTGATGAAGAGCAGCGTGTCCAGCAGCGACTCTACAGCATCGTGCTCCACGTCACGCGCTTTCGGGCAGTCGGGGATGCGATGCTGTCCGGTAGCTTTGGCCAACGCCAGCTCCTGGTTGCGTATGGCGTCCCTGTGCTTCGACGTCCTTTGATGTCGTTGCATGGCTTGCGTCTGTACATCCAG